GTAAAATAATTTTATTTTGTTGAGATTGTACATTAACAGGTCTAAATAATCTGTTTCTGTGTCATTAGTGATAGCTCTGTTAAGTTTTAATGACTTAGGATAGATGTCCTGTTTCTCTATTTCATTGTTATTAATTACTGCAAAAATGTCTTCTATATTTTTAAAGGGAAATTTGATAAGTTCTGGATTTTGGTAGCAGTTATTAAAATTCAATTCTTTAGCAAACAGGAAAAGATTACAAGTGGCAGTAGAATAGTTGTCACACATAAGATTAACATTAATTTGTAGTTACATTTTAGCTAAATAAATTATGATAAAATGTGTACCTAAGGTAAGATTCTATATTTCAAAATCAATTAATTCTTGAATGTTGGGAATAAGGTTGTAAAGTTCAATTAAAGTACTGTAAATCTAAACAAGCAGCAAGGTGTTCAGTCTTCAAAATCATAGCAATTATTGTACATTTGGTTTACTGACAATGGTTTTAATAACTTTGTTCATTGGTAATAATCCAATTATTATGTTCTGCGATATTATTGTACTCTTGGATCTTTGCACAGATTTTTTTAAGCATTCTGGTAATATTAATATCTATTCCTTTTCTTGTTTTTGGTAATTATTCACCCTATCAGCTATAAACTGAATTTGATTAGATACTTGCAAAATTCTGATACTGCATGCAAACTGAAGAATTTGTTGCAGAGAGGCTTATGGATAATTTTAAGTTTTTTTTTTTGTGAGATGTTTACCTTTATTTAATTAGTGTGCTTTCTTGATTATTAGAGGTTTGGTTTTGTATATAATTTTACTATTCATTGTAAATTCATTCATCTTGAATGCTTCATTCATCATTAGGCTTATGGATAATTTTAAGTTTTTTTTTTTGTGAGATGTTTTACATTTATTTAATTAGTGTGCTTTCTTGATTATTAGAGGTTTGGTTTTGTATATAATTTTACTATTCATTGTAAATTCATTCATCTTGAATGCTTCATTCATCATTTGAATGATGATGAATGCGAGATTCATTCATCTTGGGCCATATACAAAGCCTCTGCGGACTTTTGGTACACTTTTGAACAAAAATTTTCTTTACTGAAAATCAATTTAATCAAGTACATACTGACCATTATTATCTATGACCTTTTGCCATTTTTCGGGTAGCTCCATAATTCCATCAGTGTAGAACTTTGGTTTATCGTCGAAAAACTTGGCCAAGTGATTTTCAGCGGGACTTCGGTCGACATATATTTTACCATCAAGACTGTTTTGCAGACCGAAACAAATGGTAGTCGGTGCAAGGTCCAGGCTATATGGTCGATGCATCAAAACTTCCCAACCAAGTTTCGCCAATTTGTTTCGAAGCATCAAGGATGTGTGTGGTCCCTCATTGTCATGACGGAACACAACTCCCTTTCTGTTGGACAATTCTGGTCGCTCTTTCTGGATTGCTTCATTAAAACGGTTGAGTTGTGTGCAATACAGGGCCAAACTGATAGTTTTGCCAGGTTGCAGCAGCTCATAATAGAAAATTCCTTATATGGCACCCAAACATCAAGATTCTTTTTGTAGCATGCTCTTTTCAATTGATTCCAAACTGTCATGCAGCGGTCACGGACATTAAGCCGATGGGACACTTAACCGAGACGACATTTAGCTGACATGGACACTTAGCCAACAAGGACAGTTAGCTGACAGGAACACTTAGCCGACACGGACAGTTAGCCGACATGACATTAAGCTGACAATGAATCTCGCTCTTCCCAATGGTTTTAGATTTCTAATACTTTCACATTTCATTACTACTTTGCTCAACACATCACATTACATTAATTCCCGTATAAAGCTGTTTCACTCCTCCCACTAATGAAATTTTCTTTCCCTGTCAGGAAGTAGAGTGATTCGCCCTACTCCTAGCAACACTGGAACTACTTTTTTTTTTATCTAAAATGCTATTTACACCCTTTACAATTACAGGTTAGGCATTGCATATTTATTAATTTGGGATAGTACTCTGGCATGGGAATTCGTAACTCGTTGTGCCTGCAGCCAGAAGTAGGTTTGGTTTATATAATTATAGCAAAGCCAGAGGGCTATCTGTGTAACGGAAGGGATAACTTCATGCAGGACTTTCTAAGGAAAACTGGCTCGTATACACGTTACACATGGGGAAAACGACGAAAACACCCATGCAGCCTGTCCGTTCGCGGGATTCGATATTCGGACCGAACTGCCAGTGTTCAGAGACTTTATTGCTCGGCCGCTGCTGCACTTAACAGAAATAGAGTGACCATTTGACTTAATATATAACCAGTCTCTTCCAATAAAAATTGCCTTTTTAGGCTAGAACTTTATAATTACATTCAGGAAAATGGGCACCAAATATTTCCCTATTACTCTGTAGCTAAAACAAAAACGAGAAAGAGAAGGAATGAAAGAGAAAAAAATTAATGAAAAGTGAAATGAAAACTTATACATTTTTTTAACAGATATTGAGAAAGTTACATTTCATGAGAAAAACATGAAACACTATAATATATATATTGAAAATTACACAACGTGACTTTCAAAACAGAGTACATAATATTACCTAGTTACATGACTGATGTAGTTAAATCTAGCACAGAGAGATAGCACCCCATTACGGTGGCTTTTCAGGATGTCTCGCTTTGCTCCGCCCTGCTTGGTGCTCCTCCTTCTGCAGATTCCTCCGATTTCTCTTCGGAGATTTTCCAATGTCCGGAATTTCATATTAGAACAACGTTTTCGATATATGAAGAGTGAAAAATGTAGCTTTTGAGAAATGTATTCAGTTACGAATGAAATAAAACCATAAAGAATATTTTACTTCTAAATTAAACATAATGCACCAGATTATTTTAAGAGAGAGGCGTGGTCAATAAAATGTTATAGAATTTTTTATCTCAGGAATAGTAGCATGGCCAGCTCATTATAGAGGTCACAAATAATTTACATCTTTGCTTGTTTTAAAAATTCAATTTTTTAAATTCTTTTTAATAACAAAATAAAATATATTTGCTAAACTAACCTTTCACCATCATATGTTTCTATAAAAAGTATAATTCAAGAAATAACAATAATTTTTATTGCATTATTTAGATTTTTCATGACAGGGAAAGGAAATTTCATTTGTAGGAGGAGCAAAATGATTTTGTAAGGAAAAGAATGCAACATGATGTATTGAGTAAAATAGTAATGAAACGTAAAGGTATTAGAAATTTCAAAGAGCAAGATTGGAAAATTATTATCGTTATACAAACAAGAAAAATTGTTAATGCTGTGAAAGTGTTCAAAAGAACACAGTTGATTAAATGAAGAAGCTTTACGGATAATTTTTGAAGATCCCAAATGTAATTAAGTGATCACCGTACTTAGCTAAAAAAAATCTTTTTTCCTTTTGAAATTTAGTTCATATTTCCTGACGAGAAATTTCAGCGCTTTTTCAGTTTGGCCAATATACACCAAACAGCATGATATATAACAAACAATGCTAAATTAAAACAATAATTAAAAGCACACGAGATCTTTAAGAATCGAAAAATGAATTTTACTGATAGGCAAAAAATAACTTAAATATTGAACTTATGGAGAAGTTGAGAAATTTTGTATTTCGTAAGTTTTAATAATTATTGGGTATGTGCCAGTTAAACATCACTGTCGGCTTAGTATCCTGTTGACTAAATGTCTTGACAGTTAAGTGTCCCGTAGCTAAATGTCCTGTCGGCTAAGTGTCCTTGTTGGCTAAATGTCTTGTCAGCTAACTGTCCATGTCGGCTAAATGACCTGTCGGCTAAGTGCCCGTGTTGGCTAAGTGTTTGTGTTGGCTAACTGGTGTCGGTTAAGTGGTTGTCAGATAAGTGTCACGGACCCATCATGCGATTGATGTTTAGTGCCTCTGCTATTTCCTGACAGATTGCATGCCAGTCTTGCTCCATCAGTTGCAAAATTTCAAGACTTTTTCAGTGGCTGGCTGAATAGAGCAAGGTGCATCTCTAACATCGAAATTTCCAGAACAGAATCCAGCAAACCACTCCTGGGTCCTTCGTTCCCTCGCAGCATTCTCACCGTACACTTTACAAATTTTTTGGCATGTTTTTGCAGCATTTTTACAATTTGAATAGTAAAAAAGCATCACATAGCGAATTTCTTCAGATATTTCACTCATTTTCAAATCAATATAAACCTTTTACACGAGCAATGAATTAGAAATCTATCTTCACAAACTTAGAAGCTGAATGTCACCTTTTAAGCACATGTTCATTCGAGACAATCGAATGAGTATTGCTGGATATATAGGCATCAACACCAGAGGCAAAAAAACCATGGAGACATTTTATATGACCCAATAATTTCTTGATAACATTTTTTACAGATAATACCAAAGTTATTGCTAAGTTTTCTACAGTGATGATGATAAATTGGTTTTTTAGCACTTCAGTGTCTTTATTTAGTTCATTTTGGTTAAAACTAGCATTACTGTAATAATAGAACTGAAGTTTATCAATATTCCTTTTAATGTTGTTTGCACACATGGCACTTACACTCTTCAATTGAATTTAGTAGAAAGCTGTGAAACAAGTTTAATATTAACTGAATTGAACTTAGCTAATGCAAATAATAAACTGGTTAAGTGAATGATCTTTTTAAGACAATGGATTTTGCTGGTATTAGAATAGTGTTCATATTTCATCAATTTCTTTAGCTGTTTGTTTTCAATAATATTTAGTACTCTGGCAATAGTATGTTTGTGCTGCTGGTTACAAAATATATATTGACCAGCGGCATAAACACATTCATACCGGATACCTAAATATTATTGAAAACAAACAGCTGAAAGAATTCATGAAATATGGAAAAAAATCAGAATGGAAAAAAGTAATAACAATTAAAAGATGAGTAAGCAGTAAATATATAAAAAGGGAAAATGTATAAATAATATTCTTCTGTTTAATTTGAAATAATAACTTAATGTTGCTTACAGGCTGGTTATCCCCAATGATAGGTAAATCTCTCTCCGCAAAGCTACCAATGATGCCAGAATCAGGAATAACAGTACCCATATCTGCATGATTAAGAAATCGAAGCAACTTTCCAGATCGAATGAATTCCATGCTTTCCATTCCATATCCAATACGAAGCACACTTAAAAGGACAACTATTACCTAGAATTACATTTAAATTGTATAAAATACATAGCAGGTAAATTATTTCAAAATAAACTTTAAAACAAGCAGCGAAAATCTAAAAACTGTTTTAACGCAGAGAAAGCACTTGTACAAAAAAAAAAAAAAAAAAAAAAAAAAACTGCTTAAAGAACCTAATTTGATTTACTTTAAATTCATTACACATCATCAACAAATCACTATTACAAAATATGAAATACACAAATGAGCTTTAATCTTGTTAAAAAAGACAAATTTTCTACACTGGTGGAAAAAATGAAATATAAATTCTAGAAAAGAGTTATCTGTGGTTAATCGTTAAGGCAAAACACAGCAATATCATCTGCCTAATTGAAAAGATATCTTTAAAGGAAGATTTTCCAAAGGAAAGTGGCTCATATTTATACATGGGTGAATATTTTGGAAATAACATGCAGCTACTAGAAACAAAACTACCATTGGCTACAGCTAAAGAATGTTGATATAAATCTGACTTGGCCTACTAGAACATCAAGATAATGTCTTGATGTTAAGTTAAATTGATTTCATATTCAGTAAACTGTACATACAAATAAATTGATTGATTCATACAAATAAATAGATTGATATAATTGATTCATTCAGTAAACTGTACATACAAATAAATAGAGCATGTCTGACAGAAGACAAGCACTTTCTGATACACATACCAGTTCAAGCTAATATGTAAAAGGCAACAGCTGTTTATAAAATGGCAGTGCACTAAAAATTCTACAAAACAGCAATAAATAGATAAAATTAAAATAAGTACGAAATATTTCTAATAGAACACTTACCTTTTCCAAGAAATCCTTATGCAATACATTTTCACTGTTCTCCTCATGTACACAGTGATCTATTTCACTTAATAAACATCAGAGAAGTGCATAAATTTGGCATTGTATATGCTGTTATTTTTCCATGTTACAATGACCTGTTTTCACTTATAAAAATCTGAGAATTGCACAAACTTAGCATACCACATTTGTAACACTTTGCTAGCAGTTTTTCACATTGCATTTTCATAAAATTAGATCACTTAAGAAGAAAAACTTCATGGCATGCAAATTTTTTAATTTTCAAATATTGGATAAAATATGCTTCTGAAGGAATGCAGAACATCCTTTTCTATCAACCAGCAAGTCCCATTACGTTTTCGGTACAAGGAAAAAATGTACTCAATCTAAAAGCAAACACTAATCAGAAAATAGACCATTGAATTTGTATGGCTGTGCATATCCACATAACTGGGTTACCACATAAATACATTCTCATGACATTATGGGTTGCCGCATGACTATTTTGATGACAAAGAGTGTTTGCCTTGTAAATATTTTTTGAGGGCGGGGGTTGCAGATAATCAGAAGCAAGAATTATACTAAAATGAAATTTAAAACTAGATAAAATTTAACCTTAGATTAATACTTGATCTATAAAAAATCACTTTGTTGAAGACTTTCCTGGGATCCTTGAATTCCTATTTTCTGTCAACAACCAAATATTTTTACTCCATGAAGAAGAGGGATCAAAGACAGTTAAGTTCTCATTCTATATTCTCAGAAATGCATCCACATTTCCTATATTTTGATTTTGTTTATTTGATTATGGCAAAGGATGCCATGGCTATCTGCCTCAGGTAAGGGATGCCTTTGTAGAGAACTTTCGAAGGAAAAGTGGCTCATATCTACATAGCAAAAACCACGAAAATGCCTATGAAGCCAGCCTGTTTCCATTAATTTGAACCCAGGCTGAACTACCAGCATTGAGCAACTTTACTGTTCGGCCACTGGTGAGCAGACGTTTTCAATAAAAGAACTTCAATCTAAGACTGAATTCTGTTTAATTAATTAAATGCCACAGATGCTTGTATAACATAAACACTATAACATATTACTTATCAGATTTCGTATTGACTGTAAATGGTTAAATTGATGAAAACCCTGCGTTGACCTTGACACGGTCAAAAGGAACTTACTTTTTAAAACTTAGGCTACTGTAATCTCTAATGATGTCATTAAGCTTTCAACTCAATATTTGTTAATGAACAAACTTGCAATAAAATGAAGGAGAAATTTTTTAAGACATATTATTAACATCTCTTCCTTTTTAAGTTTTTAGTTAAACAAGCTTAAGGTAAAGAAGCAACTGACATGAATGAACACTACACCTATTAATAAAGCAAAGCTATTTGGATTACCAACTATTCTTAATTTCAATGAAAAATAATTCTTCAGATAATGAGAAAATAAAAAATAAAGAATTAAGAGAAGCTAATGCTTTACACACAGACAAACTTCAAACTAATTTAAAATACAAAGGAGTGGATGAGTAAAACTATGACATGGAATGTAAGGGCACCAACTGCAAAGGGCTCAATCCTACAAATTGAAAGAGTGGAGAAAACATGTTCATAGCTTTACATACCAGACCGCAAGTTCCCAACATTTTTCATGTCCTGTACCTGTCAAAAATTTTCAATATGTTCTTGCATACCCTAAAGTACGCAGCGTATTCAGAAACTAAGTACTGTTTCATCCTAGCGCCGTCGCAGCGCTGTGGTAGGCGTCCCGAGCATGCACACTAGTCTTTCTTGTTCACCGACTTTCAATTGTCGCCATTTTGGTTGCTCTATGTTGTGTTTTCAGTTTGCTGTGCACATTCAAATGTTAAGACAAGTTTCTCCAACTGACTGCAAGATTGTTGCCGTGATTAATTTTTGAATGCGAGGAATGTTAAACCGGCCAAAATTTATCGTCAAAGTGCAGAAGTTTACAGTGAATACGCGATAAGTGATGGAATGGTGAGAAAGTGGGTAAGAATTTTTAATGCAGTTGAACAAATGTCCACGCGAGGCTCGGAGTGGTCGGCCTTCTGTTGTCACCGATGATTTGGTAAGGAGAGTTAATGAGCAATTCATGAGACAGACGCTTCACAAGACAACGCTTTCAGAGGCATTTCACAAATTTCACGTACTGTTTTTGTTCGAATTGTGTCTGACCGCTTGAATTATCTCAAACTGTGTTCCCGTGGGTTCCAAAAATGCTCACTGATGTTCACAAAACAAAGCGACTTGGTAGTGCCCTGACATTCTCATGCGGTACAGTGATGAGGGAGAAAACTTTTTAAACCAATTGGTACAGGTGATGAAACTTGGGTGTGTCATTTCACACCCGAATCGAAACAACAATCGATGGAGTGGAGACACACTCATTCTCCGAAAAACAAAAGTCAAAGTGACAATGTCATCACAAAAAAATCATGTTGCACTGTCTCCGGGATAGGAAAGCCATTTTGCTACTGAATTTCTTCCCACAGGTGAAACCATTAATGGCACGATATTGTGAGACTTTACAAAACTAAGGATGCCATTCAAACAAACGAAGAGGAAGCTCAGTAAGAAATTGTGTTGCTCCATGACAATGCTCACCCCATACGTGGTGTCTCAATTGTTATCGCAGTTTATTGCGAGCAGTTCGATCCCCCGTCCCCCCGGACTCGGCCCCCCAACTATCACTTGTTCCTTCCATGAAGCGCGAGCTTGGTGGCCGATTTGGATCTGACGATGACGCCGTGGAGTCGTAGTTATCGAAACTGGCGGAAGTTCCTTTGACGATGGTATACAAAACTGGTCACCGCTATGACAAGTGTTGATCATTGGGGGAAACTATGTTGAAAAATAGTTTAAGACAGTAATTTCATGTTAAAAAAAATTGGATTCGAAAAAATTGTTTTATACTTTTTTTTTTTTTTTTTCAAACGGTACTGTTTCCGAATAGCCTCGTAGTTTCTTAAAAGAAGAAACAAAAGTTCTACAATCAAATTTAAATAATTAAAATGAAACACGAGATAAGAAAATACAGTCAAAAGTCGTTAATCCGGGCTCGTCGGACTTCGGCGATTCAATTATCGATTTTTCAGGATTATAGATCTCAGTTTAAATCTGTAATTCATGCAAAAATTTCTAAAATTAAAATATGAAACATAATTTATGAAATAAAGAACAATTATGATCTAAAGGGTATCAAATTTGAAAAAAAAAGAAGCTTAATATTTATTTTTTACTTTATTAAACATTCTTCAATGTAAGTTGTAAGTTGCTCGTTTATGTGATAATACTTCTCTTTTTATTACAATAATTTCTTTAGTTACAAAGTTCCGCTGTTCAAGTCCTATAATTGCTGTGTCGAGAACACCGACTAATTTGTCATCGAAATTTTTTCGTTTCAATAACCTCTGTCACTATTCTTCACTATCGGAAGCGAATTATAATGACGAGGAAACTTGATTTAAATCATATCAAAGACGGAGTACATCGAGATGAAATACTACATTTAGTAAGGAATTATAAGCCAAATAAAATAAAAACATCTGCCCTGAAGATAAGGATAGTGCTGACAGATCAACTTCCAATTCATTGCGGCGTCCCCCCCCGCCCGAGCAGCGTGAAATTGATAAACAGATTTCGGATTTCAAAACATACTTTCGCTTTAGATCCTTTACATATTAACAAATATATATCGGAAATTCTATTTGATATAATCGAAAGTTTAAACTTACTTTTATAAAATTGCTCTTACAGTCTGCAAAAAATAATAAGCCGGAACCAATTCGAAAATTAAGGAACAATGCAATCATCAACATTAACTGAAATAGATAATTATATAATTTTAGCTTATACATCCATTATACATAAAACGCGCACACGAAAATGTATTCTGCACTTGCGCACACTCACATGCGCAGTCGTAAAAGGTCTTACGCGCACGCGTAAACGCCTATGCGCATGTGTCAACACGGCGCATGCGCAGAAAGTTTTTAGTTTTGAGGTCCGGATTATAGATCATTCCGAATTATGGGTGTCCGAATTAACGACTTTTGACTGTATTACCAAACAATAACAATGGCACTAAGCTTTTAAAAAATGAATTTTTAGTTTCTGTTTATTGGATAAAAGATTTATGGCACTTTGTAGCTTATAGCAATTCACATATCTGCTTGCACATCCAAGCAATTTCTGAATTTGCTTTGATTGACAAAAGGGCAAATCCAGACTCGTATGTCATCGCAAATGGGATAAACACAGTTAGTGCTTTTCCACTAAGTTTTGGGAACACTGCCAAACATCAATATTTTTCTTGAAAAGCAGTACTGCATTTCAAGAACACAATTTGTGTGCAGTTCTAAATAATCTTCCATCAGTTTTTTGTCATCCAACATATTATCCTAACTGAAAGAATATGGGTTTATGATTCATATTTTCTATGTTTTCCACTCTTTTCCTTTAAGATACCTATCATATAAACTAATATTTTCAAATGATCCCCACACAATATGCACAGCTAATCTCTTACTGATGCATGCACATGAAATAGTATTTGCATGCACACCAATGTCATATGAATAATTTTTTAATGATTATTTAATTTATTTTAAACAAAAAATTTAAATATCTTCCACCTCCTAGAATACCTTACACCCCCAAGGGGTTCAAGCAAACTAGTTGGGAATCCCTGCCCTAAACTATTGTTTGACCAATATTACAGAATCCTTGGGGAAAAGAACTGCCACTGAGAATATACTCATCTGCTAATGTTTAAAATTAACAGTACCAATAGCATGTTGTAGAAAAAGAAGACCTTTACATAATGATGGTAAAAGAATTAGTTTGTTTCATCCGTTTCCTGTAATATGCATTTCTGCTTTACCTATCAGATAGCCTATTATGAAAACCTTATGCTGGGATAATGTATTTGTTAGTGAAAGTTAATCTATTGACATACTGTTGGACATTATCCATATCTCCCTGGAAAGTATTCATAAGGATATGTACTATGACACCAAAATACTCAAGCCATGACATCAAAATGCATTTACGTGGCAAACCCAGCCATCTATATACTCAGGTATCAGGTATACATGCTCCCAGAAGACAATAGCTAATTTCCACCTATAAATTTGACAATAATATTTCTGATTAGTGTTTTATTTTTAGCACATTTGAATAAATTTTTTTTTCCTTGTAAGGAACTGTAATGGGACTGAGATTATGGACAGCAGAAGAGAAAGAAAGAACTACATTTCTTTAGAAACATGGTATCTTGTCTAACAGTAGAAAATGCAAAAATTTATATTCCATACAGATGTACTTTTTAAATGATTGAATTTGTGTGCTAGTGCCAAAATTTGTATAATTATCCATATTTCTTTAAACCAAAACAGACTGCTGTGTCCACGAAAAAACAACAGCACATGCAATGACAAATTTGTGCAATTTTTTGATTTTGTAAGCAAAAAGAGATCACTGTGTGAATGGGAAAATGACAGTTTATGCAATGTCAAATTTATGCAATTCTCTGATTTTTTTAAGTTAAAACAGAACAGATTACTATGAAGAGAGCACAAACAGATTTTTATTAGTAAATACTTTTTGATTTTAAGTAACATTTTTGAAAATGGCCATTTTTTAAAAAAAGGGAGGTGCAGACATACGTTTTTTAATTAAGGATTCTTGCATTTTAATGTAACGGACGGTAAGCTAGGCCAAAATTTCTATTTCAGTACAAATTGAAAAACCGGCTTATTTTTTCAGACGGTGAGCAAATAAAGTAATTGAATGTACAAAAAGAGCTGGAGCCAAATCTATTAAAGAGGATGTTTCGACTCCATCAAACAAAAATGGAATTGCTGCAAAAAATGGATAAAAACATATCTTTTTGTTCTCTAACCATTCCGAAGTCTGTTTATCAAGTCCACGCTGCTCTTCCGGGGGGGGGGATGTGCGGCGCGCAATGAACTGGAAGTTGATCGTCAGCACTATCCTTTTAGGGCAGATTTTTTCATTAGCTTATAATTCCTTACTAAATGAGTCATCTCGATTACTCCGTCTTTGATATGATTTAAATCAAATTCCTCGTCATTAAATATCAAGAATACACATCAAATAGTTTTTCTGTTTGCAATTTTCTAATTTCGACTATGCGTAATGTACGCTTTACACATGCCCGCATTGAAAAAAATGTTTAATAAAGTAAACAAATAAATATTAAGCTTTTCTTGATTTTGATACCCTTTAAATCATAATTGCTCTTTATTTCATAAATTAGGGTTTCATATTTTTAATTTTATAATTTCTGCATGCCATCTTACCAGATTTAAATTGATGATCTATAATCTGGAATCGCCAAAGTCCCGACGAGTCCGGATTAAAGACTTTGTACTGTATTACACAATTAATTAGTTTAATTCACTATGCATTTATACCTTACTTTTTAGAACTGGTATCCTATATGAAAACCCTAGGATGATATGTTGGTTACTGAAGGTCAACAGACTGATATATTGTTGGACTTGGGCACAAATCCTAAACAGAGTATGCCTATTTGTAAATGGATAATACCTTAATGGGATAAAAGCATGCAACATCTATAAATGCAGAAAATTCCTCCAAAGATTTGGTAGATTTGGTAGTTGGGAAAAAAGGATATGAAATTTTCACATTTCATTGCCTGGGGTTTTCCCCCTTCAAAGTAGGACAAAGCTTAGGAATACAGCCTTAATATCCTTGGTTTGATCAAATATTATAATACTATGCTGAAACCATTATTATAAAAAAGCAACATAATGAGAAAGTTTTAATTAAATACTGTTCATACTTTTTTTGGTAAAAACAATGATCACAATATTTGTCACCTAGCAGACCGACTCTATTTTAATTAAGTTTTATAAACAAAATTTCTAAAATTAAACTTGTGGAAATTTTACCATCCCTATATAACAATTTTGTCATACTTCAAGTATAGTATGCTTATTAACCCAATGATGGTAGCCAAATGTTTTGAAAACTCGGTAAAACCATAAAACATCACCAGCTAATTGACGAATTTAAGATTTGATGAAAACTACATGTTTACATATCTTTACTTTGTTCATGAAGAATAACAAAGGGAGCATTTTATAGAAGCAGCTTCGAGCCAGATGTCCTGTAGTGCCATTTTGCAGACTCCAAACCACTGCCATTTGTGACATCAATGGTGTCGAGCTAGAGCTCATTGGAGGTCTGGAGATACGTTGTGCTTTCTGATGAAAGCTGGTTCTGCCTTGGTGCCAATGATGGCCATGTGCTGGTTAGAAGGAGGCCAGGTGAGTGCCTGCAACCAACCTGTCTGTGGCCTAGACACACCAAACCTAGACCTGGAGTTAATGTCTGGGGAGCAATTTCATGACAGCAGAAGCACTTTCATGGTTAGCCCATGTCATTCTGGTGATTCAATCTGTTCTGCTGCCATTCATGAACAGCATTTAAGGGGTTGTTTTCCAACAAGATAATGCTCACCCTCATACAGCTGTTGTAACTCTACATGCTCTACAGAGTGTCAATATGGTGCCTTGGCCTGCTAGATCAATTGATTTTTCTCGAGCATGGATGGAAATCATTGGAGGACAACTCAAGCATCATCCACAATCAGCATTAATCGCCCCTGTATTGACTGAGCACAACAGGCATGGAACTCAACTCCATAAACTGACAATTGGCACCTGTATGACAATTTGCCTGCTTGTATTCAAAATGTTGGTGGTTATTAATGTAACATTTCACATTAGAAATGGCTCTTTTTGGCCTTACAATAATCTGTGATCTTGAAAATCTAATCAATTAAACACGTTAGCTTGACAAATATATTGCCAAAATTTCATCACTCTACAATAATTTTTTCTTGGTGTTCAGATTTCCCCCCCTTTGTCAGTGTATAAAGCATGCAAATGTACATGTACTCAAACATGTGCGCTTTTTTCACATGGATATCCAAAAACATGAAAATTCTACCGATTCCTGAAACTAGCAGTGTGGATACTTAGAAAGAAACAAATACTTTATATGAAATGTAATTTGCAACAGTGACATGTCATATATTGAAAACATTAGGGGTGGATGGGATCTCCATAATATGTTCTATGTCAGACCTTCAGTTTTTTAAATCAGGCACTGTTTGCAAGCTTGGATAAACTTTTCCCTTATCTTTTCCCTTTAAATATGCTGAGCTTACACGGCAAAAAATGAATTTAAAAAGATTAGACATAATTCACTTCATAACAAGGAATATTAGATACACTTACAGCTAAATTTATCAGTGCAACAGCAAAAAGGAAAACTACTAAAGCATAAAATAACATTCCTTTTCGGCCTCTTAAACCTGTTTTTTGCAAATACAGCTCAGAAATTGATACATATCCCGGACCAAATGATACATGCTGTTTATTCAAATGTTGTTTCAACAGAGCTTTCCCTCTCATCGACATTGCATTCGTACCCTAAAAAAAAAAAAAAAAAGAAGAAGAAGAAGAAACGTATACTTCATTAATTAACTTAGATTTTACATAATAGCAGAAAGTTAATACCATCAGTTGTGACTCTTGAAATATATACACATTTTTAAAATTTTGATTAAGTAGTCGCAGCAGCTATTAAAACCAGTGAGCAATGTTAAACTTTTAGTAGGCAATGAAACTTCAAGCCACAAATGCATAGTCCATATGATTAAATATTGAAAAAGGCTTCTTTTGGATTTAAAAATTTCTATATAATGTAATATAAACACTAAGCAATTTAAAATTGATATTTCCAACTGATGGCCAATCCTCAGTTTCATAAAATAAAAAATTAGCATTTAAACATGAATTTTTTTGTGTGTTATTGGGCATGTTTAAAGCAATCACTTAAGACTGCTGAAACTGTCAACAACATCAGTAAACTCACCTTAAAAAATAGCTGCAGTTGTTATTAAGAATCATTACATACAGGGAAAAAAAAAAAAAATCCAGCTGAAAAATTTTTTACCATGCATTTCAAATGGATGTTTAGCTTATGGTAAAATGTTTTAGGGTTATATGTTCAAAGGAAGAGATGCTGCCATGGAGGTTGTAACATAGAGTGGCTTGCATTTATATTACACATTAAAAAAACTGTTGTAGCTCACTTTCCATAATAAAACACTACCTCAAGCACTTACTTTATTATCACATATTCTATCACTTTAAGCACTTAACTAGAAGCAGACATACACTTGCTGCCCTCATCCAGGAAAAAAAAGAACATCACTGTAATTTCAAATTATTATGAGAAGCAGGGGCAGTATCAGAGCCAGTGCAGTGGCACTAGGCGGCAAAAAGTCTAGTGCCAGCCCTGATGAGAAGAAATTCATTAAATGAGCTATAAAAAAACAAGTTTATGACAAAATAACAAATGACAATTTATTTTCAGTAAGTTATATAATAAATCACTGCCACACAAAAAGAATTTTGATTACAATCAATTTTAGAGTCAGCTAAATATTCAAATGGTTTGCAAATCAATTTTATTAAATATAGTATATGTAGTATATTAAAAAACAGAACAAAAAATAGTTATTGATGCAGTAACTTATTCATATTATATATATTGTAAAATTGAATATTATATTTTACTGAATATGAAAGTTAAATTTCACTGAATATGCAACTGTATGAAAACTCACAACTCAATCTGTATTATAATGGAAATATTTTCATCAACAAAATTTTGAAAGACTTTTTAATGAACATTCACATTATGAAAAACATGTGAACATTTACTTTGAAAGATTTTAAGTGAACTTAAGAACCTTATGAAAGTATCTGAACACTTACCTGGTGGAACTATTTTCACCAAGAGACTTCTCAGTTTTCATTGAACATTCCAAAAGACCTTGGATATTTTTTCAAAGGAATTAAGGACTTTTAAAATTATATTTGTCTTAATTTAGTAGTTAGTTTATTTACAAATTATATTGTTATTGCATTAATTTTAAATTAGTTGTTTAAGTATTACATTATCTATGTATGAGAAAGGTCATATATCGTGACTGGACATAGGTAAACCTGCAGGCTATGTCCTTGATGCTATTTCATGTCTTTCCTCATATACTCAATTTTCTCTTGCTTTCACTAATTCACTAGTGCTTTTCTGCCACCCGACCTTTCTTTTGAAGGAGAAGGAACATGTAAAATTTAACAAAATACTATAGCTGCTATAAAAAAATCATTGGCATTCTAGATTTGGTGATCTCCCCCTAAATTCATCTGTTCTTCCAAATTCAAGATTTTTCTATATTATGTAATGCTACTTGAAAAGGGACAACTAAAACTAAAACTAACCAATCATAGATTAGTTGCACTTGTATATCAAACTTGGTATAAATACCACTGGCAGTTAACTACGTCACTATTATTCTTCTGCTGCATTCCTTTCCCCAGCTTCCGTCTTTGCTAACGTATCTTCTATGCTCTGCTAAAATGTTGTCGCCCCATTAACCTGTATAAATTGAATATAACAAATTATTGTAACAGCTATGATGAAAGAGTACTATCCAGAAGGAATTATTCTAGTGTGCCTGGTGTTTCGGCCACCAGAGCTCTCTGCCTGTCTGTGAGATATTATTTTGCAATGCGCAGATTGTATGCGTAGCTCGCATTTTGTTCTTGCATTTCTTGCAAACGCTATTTGTAACTCTCTCGTTTTACTTTGTGCTGTGTTCGAAAGTTCAAACTGCCGAATAAAGGTTAATTTACAGTTCACTCGCATTGATGTATTCTTAGGTTTATTAATTTAAAGTTAAGATACTACTACGCTACATTAATCTGTTCCGTCCTACGCCGGAGATTCGAGAAATGCCCACGCTTGTAAATAAGAATTCTACGTGTTCGTATTGGTGTTGATAATGCAATTTCGGTTTAGAATTCTCAAGAGTTTCGCAATGGATACAGTGTACGAGGTGAGTGAAATAGTTAACGAATTTTAATTGCATTTGACATTTTGTTATTGCTACTATTTTTGTGTTTAAAGTATTAGTAAAATCAAGAATTTAGAATACTTTCAAAATGTTAGATATAGAAAAAAAACGAAAGAAAATTTTGAAAAACACAGTTAACGAAATTCATCGAGAGAATAGATTATGATAACTTAGATAATGCTGAAGCTGAATTAATCTTAGAAAAATGTAAAATCTTAAGGAAGATTTTAAATCTCTATTAGAGAAATTTATACAAATTGTGAGATGATAAAATAGAACTTTCGTTACGGAAGAACAGTCGATTTTAGAGAAAATTGAGGAGGTTCACTTAAAAATATTCGTAATTTAAAGATTTACAAGGTCGTAAATGCAAATGGCGACAAACCTGTCATACTGAATCAATCTCTGAAAGTTTAAAGTTACGAAATTATCTTTACCCACATTTAGCGGAAATTTAACTGAATGGATAACATTTAAAGATTTATTTAATGCTAGTGTTCGCAAACAATCCAAATCTATCTGGAGCTCAAAAATTACAATATTAAAGAGTTCTTTGAAAAATGATGCTTATCGCATTATTCAGCAATTCCCATAGCTATCAAAATTCAGTATTGCTTAGAATTACTAGAAGAGAGATTTCTAATAAGAGAGAACAGATATTGCTTTTTTAAAAGAATTCTTACGTTTCACAAATACAAACGGAATCTGCATCATCACTATTAAGTTTAGTAGATAGTAAACGAAATGACTCATTGGAAATATTAGATCAAGGATAGATAATTTTAGTGATACTTTGTTGTTGTATATTATTTGCAAAAACTTGATGGTTCGACAAAGTTGTGGTGGAAGCATCAAGTAAAAAAAGAGAAATACCAAAGTTGATGACTTGATAGAATTTTGAAGAATTACGCTAGAACATACAGAACATTAAACCTTTAATTAGTAAACGCATAAATCAGATAAACCCGTGTGTAATAGGGTTACTTCTCTGATACTAATTCTACTTGCTTGTTTTGTAAGAAGATCATTTATTATACAGGTGTTCTAATTTTTTTAATTTACCAGTGCAAAAAGAATAGGGTTGTTAATTAATAAACTTGTTTTAATTGCTTGTCTAATGTCCATAAAGTTAAAAATGTGTAAGAGTGCAAATACCTGCAAGCATTGTTTTAAGCATCATCATAGCATTTCGCATTAGAAATAATTTCAAACCAAGAATGGCTCTAGATCCTTCACCGGAAGCACAGTGTTGTTCCGAAATAGCAGAAAACAACTTGATGAGGTTTCTCCAACTGTTTGTGCAAAACAACTATGAAAAATCACATTTTGAAGCTCATGCTAATGGTAAACGTAGTCATGTACTTTTGTGTACGCTTTAATTAAGGTCAAAACTCAAAAAATGAATTCATAAATTGTAGATGTTTACTAGATTCAGGTAGTGAAAATCATTCATTCGTCGGAAAACAGCTATCAATTTAGGATTGAGCGTAAAGGATTCAAAGATATTAGTGTCATGCTTAACTACTACTGGAGAAGTTGATTTGTGTTACACCTCATTTTAACTAATTACAGAATTTCAAAGTCCTGCTTACATAATAGACAAAATTACAGGAAACATTCCAAGTGTAAACATTCCTTTGAATTATATGAAAGTTCGAAGATTTAACTTTAGCAGATCACATTTCATGAATCGGGAGAAATTGATATTTTACTTGGAGTTAATGTATCCTTACTTTAATCAATGGTGAGGTAATTAAAAGGGGCAAAAATCTTCCATTGCATGTTGTTCTAGAATAGGATGGGCAATTGCTGAACTACACATTTTGAATTCCCAAACCGTAAGCAGGTTTCAGTCATACGCTAAATGTAAACACGGAGGATTAGTTAAATCATTTTTGGGATTTGAACAAATTCCCACTCGAAACCTTAACTAAAGAGGAAAGATTGTGTGAAAAACCATTTCGTGGAAACACATCCGTAGTGAAAATGGTCATTACTCAGTAAAATTGCCATTCAAGCCTACGAGAAATGAGTTGGGTAATTCCAGACCATCATCCTTTCGCAACTTTCTTAGTCTGGAACAAAACTAATATAACTCCTGAGTATATCAACAGTATAAAGACTTCATGCCCGAATATTTATCACTGGACACATGGAAGAATATCCGATGATAATCTGGATAAAGTAAATTTTCATTATTATATACCTCATCATCACGTGCTAAAAGAATCGAGTTTACCACAAAACTACGCAACGTTTTCAATGCTAGTGTCAAAACTACATCAGGGATATCGCTTAATGACACGCTAATGAATGGTCCCAGGTGCAAGACGATTATTTACTATTCTTTTGAGGTTTAGATGCTATCCCATAGCCATTACTAGCGACTTATTGAAAATGTATTGACAAGTTCAAATTCATGATGAAGATCGCGATTACCAAAAAATATTGTGCAGAGATGATCCATCGGAGCTGATTAAAACTTACAGGTTGTGCACAGTTACATACGGCACTACTTCAGCTTCATACCTGGCTACTTGCATACTCAAACAACTGAGTGAACTTTTACAAAAAGGTGGCTTTCATTTGCATAAATGGTGTACAAATGATCGCTCGATTTTGGAAACTGCTTTGAGTGCTCGGAACTCAAATTCTTCAAGTACAGTACTTGATACTAAATCAATAAAATTATTGGGTTTGGAGTGGTATCCAGTGCAAGACGAGTTTACTTTTCAATTTCGAAATCTTGAAAACAAAGAGTGTTCTACTAAAAGAATAATTTTTATCTCTATTTCGAAAATCTTTGATCACTTGGTTGGTTAGCACCTTTTATAGTTGCAGCAAAATTCTTGCTTCAAGGACATATGGAAATTACAAATCCGGGGATGATCCCTTGCAGAAAATCAATCAAAGATGGAAAATCTATGTGAATATCGCAAATTTGAATGCATTCATATTCCTAGGAGAGTATTATTGCCCAAAATCTACAAATGTAAATTCATTTTCTGTGACGCATCTGAGAAAGCTTACGCCGCAGATTTATTTAAAATCTTCAAATAATTCTTAGTTTCGGCGCACTACTAACATCAAAACTCGTGAGCTCCCCTGAAAGTTAATTTCTATCCTCGTTTAGAACTCGCTCTGCAGTTCTATTAGGTTTGTTCAAGCTGTGCAGAATCATTACAAATTCATTTGACGATATTACGCATGGAGTGATTCAATGATATTTGTCCTGGATACATCAGAATCACACGCCGAAAACCTTCCGAGCAACGCGTTTCAGAAATTCAATCATCTACCTCATTGCATGGAATCAATAAAAGAAAGGAGAATCCAGCTGATTGCGCATCAGAGTCTTTGCTTCAGAACTTCTACTCATGACTTGTGACAGGT